GCTGAACTTCAAGCAAGCAGGTAAATACACTGTTAAAACACATATGCCAGCAGTCTTCCCTTTTAAAAGATCTCGAATTCTGATCTGTCAAGTCCTCTAATCCAGACAGCCCAATGACTTCACTACAATGAAGCAACACTGTTGTGTGATTGCCCAGGATGCTGCCCGGACAGTAAAAGGTGTGTAATAACCGCTTAAGCCTAGTACACACGATGAGAATATCAGACGAATGATCATCAGTTTTTGTCAAAGACAAATAGATTACTAGAGTTACGAAAATTCTTGTAAAACAGAAAACAACTTCTGTGATTATGTAATGTAATTTTTGTTTTGGAAAATGCGCAGTCTTGGTCACTCAATTTTGTAATGATGAATACTGTACTGATTAAAACAAAAATCGTTCGCTCTGTTATTGTACGAGAAAAATTTTCATGATTGTCCCTTCGGATAATTGTGCATGAACTGTCGTGATCAGCTCTTGAAAGCTGTGTATTATTGATCAGATTAACGGGCGGTTGATCCGAAAGTGGTATTTTTTTGTACAATTTTCTCATTGTGTGTACTTGGCATTTCTCTGTTCTCCATTATCAGCAATCTCCCAGTATTAAATGGACAGCATTGTGCCATGCATTAGATTGGTTCACATTGCAGGTCCGCCCACCCCCAGCATTAGCCCAATTGTGTAGGCCTGTAGGGGATTAAAGGAAGCTAATAAAGTACAAAGCACGCACAGATTAAAAGTGTAACATTTCTAATCAGTACATAACTGGATAAAAATATGTAATTTATCATCTGCATGGATCTGCAAATATATGGCCCAAGTGTTCAGAAGTCTACTAGATTTTGTATATTGGTATATGTATATAGTGCCATCAGTACTGATTTTACAGACTATTACTACAATGTTTCTATTACATTTTAATCCAGGAAGTGCCATGGGAAAGTTGTTATTTAGCTCAGGCACCTTAAGCTGGCCATAGATGGATTGAAATTCACCCAGTTCATTTGATCCATGTATGGGTACTGTGGTTATACAGAAGTCAATCTACGGATCAACTTTTGTACAACCGCCCTCCTGGAAAATTTCTTCTGGATCAGTGTGCAGGGTATATAGCCTGTGCATTCTTATGGCGAGGGAACATCCACTATACTACTCAATGTGCATGCCATATGACCTCGTCACAGCTCCTGCTCCAACAGCACATGGCATTAAGTTGTATATGTTCCTCTGCTACTGTATTCACCTCTGTTGAAAAAGTATAGCGTATCACATACAACCACTGCAACCTATTTGACCTCTAAAAATGTTGGCATTTGTGATCGTTTATACTTCATATATAGCCCGATTGTAGCATGAGTTTGCACAAAACATTTTTAATGTAAAATAATCTTGCCCCATGTATTTTAGGAACAGTTAGATCATAATAGACTTGTATCTTAAAGTACAAATAAGATTGGTTTACATGATGGGATCCTGCAAGAATACAAACTATACCTCCATACCTCACATTTTGGCACAATTTTTGGGGTGCAGAAAATTGCAAGACGTAATCAGAAAATGAATGGTTTATTTATAGGGCTAGTTCACTTCTCATAAAGTAGTCCTATTTTCATTACTAATGCGTTAACATTTTACTTGAGATTTAAACCTTGTACACAGTAAGTTTTTTTTTCATTCAAAAAAAAAAAAAAATACCCCTGACAGATCACAGTACTAACACAAACTATGTCAGTGCAGCGATCTCCCTCGCTGTGCCATGGGGACTACCCCCCTCCGCCAGGATACACTGGTCAGTGCTGGCAACCATTGGCTGACAGCACTGATCAGATGTCAGTTGGCTGCTGGTTTTTTGAGCATGCTCGTTCGTCAGAAGCTGGCCATAAGATTGGCTCCTGTCAGACAGGCAGCTGTACACACAGGCTGAAAATGATCCTGTTTCTACTGTACCAGCTGATATTCGGCCTGTGTACCCCAGTCTCTGCACCATCCTTGTTAAGATACAATCCTGTTGTTGATGAGATTGTGCTAAATCCAATTCTGTGCTGTTCAGTTCCATATCCATCTCAGTAGGTTTGACTGCCTCCAGTACAGAACCGAGATATGAGTCTATGGGTATCTGGTAAATCTCAGTGGAAAGTCTTAAGCTGGCCATAGATGGAGCAATATTCAGCCTGTTGGCTGATCAAAAAAACAACAATCCATGTATGGTCAGCCTTACACTGTGTACACACATGCACTGGATGCCCTCACAACTGACACTCGCCTCCTTACTCTCCTTTTTATTTATATGCATCAGGCAAAAACAGCATTATATGTAAAAACGTTTAAGAAAAATTCTACCAGGGAAAGATTTAAAATTAATCAATAATATACTAGTTTCAATCTCAAATTACTAAATTTGTTAGTAAACCCACAACAGTAAAATCAGTCTGTATATATAGTAAAGCATTCTTGTTATACTCACTGTGAAACTTAAGGGGTTTTATCCTCTGCATTGTGTGAAAAGGCTGCTTGATCCTGACTTCTCTGATCATCCCCTTCTTCCAGTGTCCCTCTCTTATCACCTGATAAGACATTGTTTGTAGTCACTCTGCACATGCTCAGTTTGGTGTGTATTACTAGAGAGGCCTTTGTTCCCGTGGGAGAGTGCATGCGATCAGCACAAGGCCAATCAGCACTGTCCAGGACAGAGGTTAAGGGTCCTGCATCCTCCTAGAGCAGAATGAAAACTCGTCCATGAAAACTAAGAGCTTTAACATGTGCTCTGCTGGACACTGATAGAAGTCACAAGACTGCTCTAACTGCTGTTGAGAAAAGGTATTTAGCAGTTTATATTTACTAAAATAATTGCATTTCCATGTTGTGTGTGTGTGGGAGACCAGATATAGTGAATGCAGGGTCTTGGGTTTAGTAACACTTTAATACATTTTCTAATAGGCTGCATAGAAACCAACTTGTTAAGAGCAAATACACTATGCTGCATAGTAAGGCCAATTGTATACATTAATTTTCCAGAAACTGTAATCGCCTAGGCCCTTTTGCCAGTTAGATCGTCACGTTTCTTTTCTTTGTAAGTTTTTTGTAAGAACATGTTCACGTAATGGCTACTTTAAGAGCTTTTGAAAATAATGGTTGCCAATACAATTTAACATCACAAAGAAAAGCACCAGATACCACCCTCATCTACATTTTACACAGCAGAGCAAGCGTTTATTAATACATGATGTGATCTCATGTATTTTGCTTAATTTTCAAGCACAAGTAAAATACACAATGAAATCCTATTTTTTTTAACGGGGCAATAAACATGTTGCATTGTGGTGCATTAAAAAGTCCTGCATACTGTTTCTTTGGTGCCTTGACTTGCATTCTTCATGCAAGTCAGCTAAAATGGGGTCTTCAAAAAAAAAAAAAAAAAACCCCAACAAAGAAAAAACAAAAACAAAAAACAAAACAGTAACACGTTTTCTGGTGTGATTGCGGCAAAAAGGTTATGGAAAAAGGACTTTGCATAATTGATCATTCTTAATTTGAAAGTGTTTAACACACCCATGATAAAAGTGTGGTTTCCTCCACTTTGCAACTAGGTGTTTGTAGCTTAGCTTCGAGGGTTGCTAGGAAATTTAGATCTTAAATTGATAGACACTTTAAAATAGAAGGTTAGGAGCCATGTTCCTTTTGTACTGTTTTGCCCAAAAGGATAGTGGACTTAGAGGAGCTAGCCTTCTTAAAAAATGAATTCTCACTTTTTACTTTCGAGTGGTATCCTTCAATCAACTCATGCCTGAAATGATAGAAAATGCAAGGAATAAAAGCCTGCAAAAGTAAAATGTTAAGCTGCAAAAAGGCAACTTTCATAAGCATTTGCCCCCTTTAACATGCCGAAATAGTACATTGTTATTCTAAGTCATCAAAATTACAATTCTTTTGCGTATTTATGTTTCAGTTCATCCATTCATAGACTCAAGGAACTCTTAGTTTATCTACATGACTTTCCAACTTCTCAAAAATATTCTTACACATTTTTGTCCCAGACTAACCAGCTATTCACTTCTAGATATTGGACTAGAATATAAATAACTGAGCCAAGCATTGATTGTTTGGTGTGTTATGTCTTTTCAAAATAAGCAAAATTTGTGCGCTCAATTCATAGCAGGTAAGCTATTCTTATAAAATCATTTAATACATATTTGTACAATTATATTACAGCTTGTTTCGGAGTAGTGGCCATAAAAATCCTTTTGTTACGAAACGTAAAAAAACAAAAAAAAAAAAACAAAAAAACAATAATGAAATAAAAAATAAAGCAAATATCAACAGAGCAAGTGAGATTTCATTCAAAAACCTCTGTAAAATGTAGCGCTCAATCACTTATGAATTCCCCATTTGCCAGCAATTGAATTACAGTTACTGCCCAGGTTATCTGTTACAAGTTCAGTTTCAACAAATTCTGAAAATGTGGGCTTTTGTAGTTACTTTTGTTACCTAAAAAACTGTAAAGTATATCTAAGGTTACATTGTCCAAGAGATTCATAAAGCCAATCACACATTATAGTATGTGTGCTTACACTCCGCAAACAATTTTATTGTATGAACCCTGAACCAGCCAGCGCTTTGCCATGTATTCCTATTGGCTCAGCCTGTTCACAGGAACAGTCAAGTGCAGTTATTTCTTTAAAACAAAACAAAAAATTGAAACATTAATTCCTATATTTCTGTACAAATGATCCACTCATCGTTGCAATGGTATATGAGATAATCCCTCTGGATCTAATCTGAATATCTGACCTGCCATTACTGGTTGACTGGTCACTTTTTTTTGTCTTTTTAAACATAGCTACCCTCCCTAGTGGTGCATTGAACACAGAAATTGGTATCCAGTGCAGTTAAAAACTGTAGACCTCATTCTGTTCTATTTGTGTAATTTCTACAGTTACAGCCATACATCCAGCCCATGTTTTAAAAGTGAAATCCAATTCTGAGACCAACAGAAAAAAGATTATTCCCATTGCAATTGCAAGTCGGTAGTATCCAAAAAGTCAGTGGAGAACATACTTGGAATAGTTGAGCCCAAGGGAGTAAGAGAAGAGGCTGAATTGGGCATGGTAATGTCCAGCCACTCCATGTTGTCCAGGTTGGTGTCTTGAAGGTCTAGGGACAAGCAGCTGTTTGCAGTGAATGGCGTGTCCGTGGTTTCCATGGGTGTTGGATCATGGTCCAGTATGCTATGGTGCTGGAGAAGATCATTGTTCAAGTCGTCTATTAGAGAAAATGTATCTCTGCCGTCACTGTGACTATCCAGGTGAGGAATGTTAGTTTCTGATGGCAGAGTGCCATCTAAGAATGCTTCCAGCTGACTTTCTAAGCTAATAGACAGACTGTTTGTGGGCTCCAAAGACAGAGGAGGCGCTACATGTATCTGTGGTGGTGGCCTTGATACCACGGTGTTTACTGGCATGGTGGTTACATTGGCAGTCACGGGTCGCATTTTTGATATCGGGGAAGGCTCTTCTTTCACAAGAGGGGAAATCTCTGAAAATAGAATACACACATTGAAGGCTTTTCTTAGAAATATATGTAAGCAGTATATGCAATCACTTACTATAACACTTTTAAAAAAAATATTGTTACAAAAGTTTAACTTACTACCTATATGGCATCACAAAGCATAAACAAACCTGAAAATCATGTTGATCGGATACGACCTATCTGCTGAATTCCTACATTTTTTTTACCCCAGCAATCTCCTACAATTGCCTGACTGCCTGTCGTTGCTAGGCTCCTTGTTCCGCTACCGATCCACCCAACTATAAGAATGACATGAAATCTCAAATTTCCTGCTAAATAAACTAAGAATCCAGTATGGCCTGCAAAACCACAGTCTATGTGGCATGAGTGAACCAGAGTCTCGGGGCAATACCCACGCACTGGCAGGGGCTGAACCTTATTTTGACTTCTTATAATAATTTTTAGATCCACTTTTTTTGGGGGGGCTGACAATTACACAAGTACAATATTCATGTTAATTTAGCTGTAAACAGAATACCAAATCAGTAGAAGTGGACTTGGGTGTGATTATTCCACCATGCGGCAGCTATCAGGTTTCCAGGTGGATTAATTGAATATCTATAGTTGGCTTCAGATAAGTGGTTACCATTAACACTTGTCAAACACACAAATACCTTTACAGAAATATTAAACACTTCTGTTGTTTTTCCAGATGTACGTGTATCCGCATCCACTTCTGCACAATAAAACCTCTTCTCATAGTTTGAGGCTAGTACTCCTGTTGTATTCCCATCGGTGATAAATTACCGACAACCAGCATTCAACACTAATAGATTTTCCAAAGTAGGAGTCATTGCATGTCATGGGGAACATACACAGCACTTGCATGGTTATCATGTCTATTTCTGAACAAAGCTTTTAAAGCGGAGCCTAATCCTCTAAAAATATAGAACATACTAAATCAACAGAATATATATCCTAGTCACAAAATGTTGCCATATACTGCATTAAACCAGGTGTCATAAAAGATATAAATCTAGGAAAAAAATATAAAAAGACCATTTAAAGAGTACAAAATCTTACTACAAAAACACTATTTTGTCTCATTCAAACTGTAGTTTATTCCCAACTACTAATTTATGGATAGTTCAGATAATAATCTGAACGTTTCATGTACTGGTCTGAAAATCTGATCGCTATCTAGGGGTAAGAATATATGGCAAGTAGTTGCCAATAGTCTGACCTGTCCTGAGTGTGTGTGTGTGTGTGTGTGTGTGTGGAGGTGTATAGAATAAACTGCATAAATTTGGGAACACATCTGGTCCACATCCAAAAAATGTAAAAAGTATGAATACCTGCTTTATGCCACGTACAACCATGTTTTTCAGATTTTGCACAATTTTAAGATTAAAGAATCTGTGAGGAGTGCACAGCTACAAAAAAAAAAAAAAAAGGGGAACATAGGGGAATATAGGGGATTGCATTGCAAGTATGGAGCTAGTGGATTACCTACCGTACTCCTGTTAAAAATTAGGAATATTTTTTACAAAAACAATTTATGTGAAACTCAAGTAGAAGAGATACCTTCTGTCTATCAAGGGACCCGATTTTCCTAATTTCAAAAGGGAAATGTGCTAGATAAGTGGTTCTAAAAGCACTAATTCTAAGAATTAGTGTAAAAACAAAACTTCCACCGTTTGGGCCTCTCTCCTCTCCCCCCCAAATACTTACATGACATCACTCTCAATCCAGCATTGTCCCAGCTAGCAGCCCCACTCTGCTCTCTCAAAGTGATACTAAAGGTTCAGATTTTATTTAAACAAAATGTCATACTTACCTGTTCTGTGCAATGGTTTTGCACACAGCAGTCCCAATCCTCCTCTTCTCGGGTCCCCTGCCGAAACTCTTGGCCCTTCCCCCCTGATGAATGTCCCCACAGCAAGCTGCTTGCTCTGGGGGCACTCGTGTGTGCTCACTCCCAAACCGCCTTGCAAGGTAAAAAAAACCCTTCAACCTTTAGAACCACTTTAATGCATCCATGGCTGCCATTGACTCTTGCTGCTGTCAGTTAAATCCAGTGAGGAGGAAGTGCTGGGTGGAGCCAAGCCATGCTGTGGGCGTCAATGGATATACACAGACCAGCTCAGAATAGAGCCCACATAGTGCCCCCATAGCAAGTGACTTGCTATTGAGGCACTTGTAGAAGAGAAGCAGCCTAAAGCTCAAGCAGGGGAACCGAAAAAGGTTTAGGGCCAATTTATGCAACAGTATTGGACAAAGTATAACATGTTTGTTACATAGTTAGTCTGGCTGAATAAAGACAAAAGTCCATCCATTTCAATCAGTAAAAAAACAAAAAAAGGCAAAAAAAAACCCCCCAGCAAAGCATGATCCAATTTGCTCCTGCAGGGAAAAAAAATTCCTTCCTGATCCCCCGAGAGGCAATCGGATATTCCCTGGATCAGCGTTACCTATAAATGTTAGTATCCAGTTATATTCTGTATATCTAAGAAAGAATCCAGGCCTTTTTTAAAGCAATCCACTGAGCTGGCCAGAACCAACTCTTGAGGGAGTCTATTCCACATTCTCACAGCTCTCACTGTGAAGAAACCTTTCTGTGTTTGGAGATTAAATTTCTTTTCCTCCAGACGTAAACAGTTCCCCCCTTGTCCTCTGTGATGACCTCAGGGTGATCAGCTCTACACTGAGTTCACGATATGAACCACTGATGTATTTATACATGTTGATCATATCCCCCCTTAATCTCTTCTTCTCAGGAGGAAACGTTTATTTTAATAAAAAAAAAAAAGTTAACTTTACTCTCACTTTAACCACTTCAAGTCCAGACATTTTCACCCCCTTCCTGTCCAGGCCAATTTTCAGCTTTCAGTGGTATCACACTTTGACAATTCCGCAGTCATGCAACACTGTACCCATATTAATTTAGCATTTTTTTTTCAGATAAAACTTTTTTTTTGGTGGTATTTATTCACCACTGGGATTTTTATTTTTTTGCTATATCAATGAAAAAGTCCCAAAATTTTGAAAAAAAAAAAAAAAGTGTTTTTCTTATAAAATTTTGCAAATAAATAATCTTTCTTCATAAATCTTGGCCAAAATGTATTCAGTTATCTTTTCAGTAAAAAAAAAATAACCCAAATTAGTTTATAATCAAAAATTATCATTTTTCAAATTTTTTTTTTTAACATTTTTAGATTTATATTTAACATGTCGTCACCCTAGCAGTACAGTGTCACCATAGTGACACTATTACTTGTGGGGGGTGATGAAGATTTTTTTTTTTTTTTATTGCTTTTACATCCATAAAGGCTGTAATAGCAATCATTTCTCCTCTCTGGCTGCATTCTTGCAGCCATTGAGAAATACTGTGCGAGCTGTGATTGGTCACAGCTTGTCACATGGAGATATAAATACTTACCCGTTACCCTACTCCTCGCTCCAGAAGATGATGATGCTGAGGCTCCACACACAGACTGGAACTTGGGGCAGAGGAGAAAAGCGCTGAAATACGGAATTCAGTAAGTAAGAGAGGCTGTTCTACAACCACCTACTTACATTACCCGACTTCAGCCTGCAGCTTTAGCCAAGTGTGCGGTCATGGTTCTTTCGGCACACTAAGAAATCTAACTATCCCAAAGATTGCTCTGCATAGCACTGGAGTTTAACCATTAGCCGCCTGGCGGGTTCAAAAGTGCTTCGGCATTCCGTGTGCACGCCATTTGGCGTCCTCCCGCACATGCGCAGTTTGCGCTAATGCAGAGCCTCGCAGCGGCGCAATCTGTCACCGGCCGTGTACCTCGGACACGGCCGATGACAGATCTGAGTACCGGCCCCCGTTGTTGGTACCATGTGACCTGCTGTGACCAATCACAGCAGGTCACATGACAGTATACAATGGGTGGCTTCACTCATGCCATCCATTGTATACTAGTGCCTAGCTGTGAATGGTCACAGCTAATCACATGCACATGTCATGTGATTAGTTGTGACCAAATCACAGCTAAGCACAAAAAAAAAAAAAAAACCTGAATGAATCGATTTCATTCAGGTAAATGCTTGCTTATAGCAAAGTAATTCTTTGCTATAAGCAAATTGTGTAAAAAAAAAAACCAAAATACTGATCACTTCCCCAAAGTAGTACAATGTTACTATGGCAACATTGTACTGCTTTGGTCATAGTAAAATATGAAAAAAAATCTTAAAAAAATATAAAACAAAGTAATAAAAAATTAAAAATAATAAAAAAATAAAAAAAATATATATATTTTTTTTTCATACTGTCACCAGTCAGTGTCGCTGTTCACCGCCATGCCAGTTATATGATGACGCTGTACTGCACTGGTGACAGTATGTAAAAAAAAAAATAGTGAAAATAATTTTTTTAATTTTTTCATTTTACGAAAAATTATGACAAGAAAAATACAACTTAAAAAAACTCGCCATGCCTCTTATGAAGTACGTCGGACTGTCTTCTCTGCAAAAAGGGGTCATTTGGGGATATCTGTACTATTCTGACATTCTTGGACCTCAAGAAATTAGATTGGCTGTCAGTACTTCAGGATTGATCAATATTCAGATCTATACCATAGTTTGTGAACTCTATAACTTTCCTACAAACTAAAAAATACATCCTAATTTGGGTTATTTTCACCAAAGACATGTAGCAGAATACATCTCGTCCTAAATTTATGAAGAACAATTATTTATTTGTAAACTTTTATAACAGAAACAAAGAAAAACTTGGTTTTTTTCAAAATTTTTGGTATTTTTTTGTTAATTTAGCAAAAAATAAAAACCCCAGTGGTGATTAAATACCACCAAAAGAAAGCTCTAGTTGTGTGAAGAAAATGATAAAAGTTTAGTTTGGGTACAATATTGTATGACCGAGCAATTGTCATTCAAAGTGTGAGAGCCCTGAAACGTGAAAAATGGCCTGGGCAGGAAGGTGTAAAATTGCACGGTATTGAAATGGTTAAGTGAGATTTGGGATATTTACCAAAGTG